AATTGACCGAATGAGGTGGTGCTGATATAAGGTAAAATTCATGTTTGATATAATCGACTGAGTCAAATTGAATGATGTCCAGCAGTGCTAAAATAGCAGAACGAGTCTCCAATAGACTGAATGTCCTGAAGTGTCTTACTGGTAGCGTATGGGGCTGTGCGCGCTCAACTCTAAACACCACTTACAACATGTTTATTCAGCCAATAATGTTGTATTGCCGTGAGCCACTCATTACAGCCACAGAGGTGACTCTCAAACCCATCGAGAAGGCACACAACCAAGCATTACGACTAATTACTGGAGGGATAAAATCAACACCCATTGATGCAATGCTCCTAGTTACAGGAAGCACCACAATAGGTTCCCTTATCAAAGAAAAGGCCTTGATCCTGTATGTGAAGCTACTGCGCATTTCCATGAACAAGTTTAATTAATTATTGAAACCATCAAGATTTGCAACGAGTCTTACGTTATTTGAATGAATGCAAATTGGTACCGACTATCGTGTGGATGAAAACATTAATGTGAGTGGAGTCACTGGAATATATCGAACCCATGGTGAGCCTTCTATAGAATATGAGGCAAGATTGGGCGATGTTGCCCTAATCTAAGTCATCAGTTAGAAGAAAAGGGGTTAGTGTACAAGGCAGTTGAAAGTAGCCAATCGCCTGTCTTGCGTACACCAGTGTGGTTACAACAAATGAAAATGAAAAATCGGTTCATGAACAAGGCAATCAACTTCAAATTTCATTCATTAGAAGTTGTCCAAATCGCAACGATTGAATATCGGGAACATTTTGGTAGGTGCATCAAGTGAATCCAAATTCTCCATCTTACTTAAATGCCATACAGTAGCATGTCTAACCATTTCATTTAAAACCAGGCAACATTAGGTCCAATAACTAAAGTAGTATTAATGTTTGCACAGTCAAGGAAGTTGGCATGATTCTGACAATTTCTTCGCAACACGTGGTTTGAGTGAATGTTTAGATTGTGAGTAGTGGTCAAGAGTCCATTGAAAAGCCACATGAGATCCATAGATCCATAGATAATAAACCTGGAGTCTATCGTATGCCCACCTACTACGTAATAAAAGGCCGAATGAGGCGGCTCTGATATATGCTGGAATTCTTGTCAGTGGTATTGACTGAACTCAACTTGTATGAAGACTAGGCATTACTTAAGGATGGAGGAATTCCACGCTGTACTGTCCATCACAAATATCAAAGTCGTTCACAATTTGACACAGTTCACCCTTTTCCATTTAGTTAAAATGCAACAATACAGATTGATGCGTTAAGCATTAATTCCATGTGCCAATTTAAAACTTAGACTTTCAAATCTCTCTTTATCTGAACCACTGCGTATCAGTTGTTATTGGTGGTTAGACTCTATGGAAGAGTGAAATATTTACCATAGACGACAAAGGCGAAACAACTTACTTTGTCGGATTAATTTGACATAGTCACCTATCACACGTGGGTCAAAGCATTTGAGCTAACTAACACTATTTTGGAATACTCAATTTAAGTCACATTTTGGAAACAGAAACAATTTGGTTGCATAATCGGGTGACAACAAAAGTATACAGTTTATACTAAAAACTTAGTTAAAAATGTGCAAAAAGTTGACAACAGTAATTGGTTTGGTGTAAATAGATCAAGTGTAGTGGTCTATCCAATTTTACATTCACTGTGAATAAATCAATAAAGATAAAAGTAACTTAAATTTAACCTTTCAATGTTCTAAGTTTGGTAGAAATTTTCACAATAAAACCTCACTTATTAAAGCAACTATGCTCAGTAATGATAAGCTTTCAAGTATCAGGGGGTTCGCGTCATTATAAGTGGGACTGTTTATGATAATTGAATGTTTGCTGAGGATCACCTCATGTCATTTTTTATAAATTAGAGCGTTTCTAATCATGTTGGAAGAACATTACTTCACTTTCTAAAGGAAAAGGTAGCCCTTTTTGTCAATGTGACACCATTGAAAAAAAAATGGGGTCATCACCATCCATCTTAACATATTTAATATAAATACAAAATAATGTTGAGTGTATGTGTGACTTATTCTAATTACCAGCAAGTTGAGCCATGAATAAAGCTATGTTAATTGCAAAATATAGTTCAATCTTCTTCGGAGTTCTACTATTTGTGAGTGCACATTTTCCTGCTGCTAACATTGAACTTGTCCATTTAGACATGTGGCCTGTGTTGGGTTATTCGAGGCGGTATGGGTCAGGTGAACGGAGACTTCTTCAATTCGCAAACATGGATGATTGTGTACGGGATACTTCATTGTATCATGATTTTGCCCTTATTTATTGGATTATGGAGAAGAAATAAAATCTGTCTACACGCTGTAAGCCAAATCAACCCAGATATATGTTTACTTTCCTTCAAAATAGGTGGCAAATATGGCTCTTGTTGCAGGCTTCCTCAATTCCATACTTCATGCTTCTGACTTCCTCAAGTCAACAGATGGCATTGTCGTTGCAGTTGTTACCTTTGCTGCTGAAATGGCTCTAAGTATCTCCCTAGGCCGATATCAGATCATAATTAAAGAACAGAAATGAGGATTGTGATCAACTTTTCCCCTTATTGAATTATTCACAATGGATATTTAAAATGAGATAAACCACTACACGTTCTTCCATTTAAAATAAATCAAGTACCATTCTCATTCTTTTTGATGCGTGTAATACAATTTTTGATTCCAAAATGTAACATGAATGGAGCATTAAAAAAAATAATAATAGTTAGCTCAAATGCTCTGCATCACATGTTATGGCTAGCTAGGTCAAATTAACCCGACAGTGTGTAGTTCCACGTTTTCGGCTATGGTAAATATTTCACTCTACTATAGAGTCTAACCACCAATAACAACTAATACGCAGAGATTCAGATAAAGAGGGATTTGAAAGTCAAGGATCTCAACCGATACATAGATTTAATGAATACCCAATTAGTCTTTACTGTCGTATTTCACTTAAAAGGGAAATCGGGTGAATTGTGTCATTTTGTGAATATCTTTGACATCCGTGTAGGCCAGTACACAGAGGAATCCCTCCATCCTTAAGTAATGCTTAGACTCCATACAAGTTGGGTTCAGTCAATACCATTAGCATAAATTTCAGCATATATCAGATCCGCCTCATTCGGCATTTTACTACGTAGTAAGTGATATAAAAATAAGGATACGATGGACTCCAGATCTATTATCTATGAGTCTATGACTTAGGATCTCGTACGGCTTATCAATGGACTCTTGGCTACAAATCACAATCTCCACCTAAACTCAACTCACGTGCCAGAATCATACCAACTTCCTCGACTGTACAAATAAGCCCTCTATCCCTTTAATTCAGTCTCACCTAATCTTGCATTATATTCTGTTGAAGGCTCTCCATGGTTTGTTTTACCCCAGTGTCCCAACCTACATATTATTTTATATAGGAGGTTAGACTCTAGGGTAAAATAAAATATTTGCCTCACCTCCTACAACACTGAGATCAGCTGGTATGGGTGTCGTGCCAACACATCACTCCACTATTACTTCAATCAAATTCTCCATGTGTCACAGAAAACTGGTCATGTGACCAGGAGAGTGTTTATGTGGCACACACATTTTGTTGCACTCAGTATGCCGTAATTGACCGAATGAGGTGGTGCTGATATAAGGTAAAATTCATGTTTGATATAATCGACTGAGTCAAATTGAATGATGTCCAGCAGTGCTTAAGGATAGAGGGATGATCCTGCCTGGTGCCTATCACAGATGTCGAAGCCCTTCACAATATGACACAGTTCACACAATTTCCCTTTAGTTGAGTCACACCAATAAAGATTGATTAGGTAAGCACCAAATGCATGTACCGATTGAAATCTTTGACTTCCAAATCTTCTTTGTCTGAACCACTGCGTATTATTTGCTATGGTCTGTTGGTCTATGAAGTGCTTGGTATATTTACCGTGAGACGACAAAGGTGAGACTACTTGCTTTGTCGTTGTAGTTTGACCTGGTTATGTCATCCAAAGCATTTGAATTGAGTATAATTATTATTAAATGCTCAATTCAAGTCACATTTTAGAATAAGAAAAGGTATGATTCTCAATTGTAATTCACTTTCGAGCGACAGTGAAGATCTCCTGTTTATACTAAAAAGTATGCGATTTATATTAAGATATGAGTGGTAAGATATAAGTTATCTGAAATCAATTGTGGTGGGTAAGGCAAAAGTGTTAGGGTCAGAACGGTGGAGTTCAGTATACGGCGCCTTAGCATCAAATTTGCCAAGCATGACTTTACCATTGGCATGCTTCCATCAATGCTCCTATGCCCGCCTTTGTGACCATCTCTTAAAGGAACTCATTTGACCAATTGACAGGAAACCATTTAATAGAATTCACATAACTCTTTGTGTTGATGCTCCCCCATTAAAACAATAATCTACTTCAACACAACACACAAATCGAATCAAGGAGAATTACGAAATTTAATCATTAATTTATATCAAATGGCGGGGTGCGCGATAGACTTACCTCCATGTGGTGCACCCTAAGCAACGTATTCTCATACGGCAAAAAAGTCTATTAACCGAATGTTGACCGGACTCTATGTTATATTCCACTACTTCCACAGGAATTACCTCACCTTTTTCTACCTTCATGCCTGTCTCTTTTACATCTTTAAAACACTTTTCGGCCCCCCCCCCTCCCCCCCGGACTCGACTTTTTCAATTTGATGTTCTTTCCCCTCTGTGAAGCCTGATGTCAACCAAAGGGCAAATGATGACCATTAAAGCGCCTGCAATTTGATATAGTGTTTTAAAGATGTAAAAGAGGCAGACACAAAGGCAGAAAAAAGATGAGGTGAGTACTGTGTTAGTAGCCGAATATGACATACAGTGGGGTGATGGAAGTTTGAAGCCAGAAGTCAACTGCCAGTTTATAGACTTTTTGTCGTATGAGTAAACGTTGCCCAGGTGCACCACGTGGAGGTAAGTCTAACGCACACCCCAGAATTACAAAATTAAATTCGGTTGGGTAAACATTATCTCCATGTGCCGATTGAGATGCTTTACTTCCAAATCTACCACTACATTGTAGTTTTTATTGGTGGTTGGTCTCTATATTGAGGTGAAAAATATACCATAAGACGACAAAGGCGAAACTACCCTCTTTGTGGGGATGAATTGGCCTTGTCATTTAAGTCATGTGAGACAAAGCATTTGAGCCAACTATTCTTAATTTTGAAGGCCAAATTCACATCACATTTAAGAAACCGAAACAATGTGACTTACAATTTTAGTTAATTACTCAATGACAACAAATGTATTCAGTCCATATTACAAAAATCAGTCATACATTTAAAAAATAATGAAAGGTATTTGATTTATTTTAAATCGACGAAAGTGCAGTGATTTATCCCATTTTAAATAGACAAAATGAATAAATCAATATTGCGGAAAGTTGATGGAAATGATTAGAATATTCACAATCAGTCCACATTTTGTTCAACCGATACCTTCAGATACTTTAAATTTCAGTACATTAAATTATATACACCCAGAACATATTTTGTTAATGCAAGTCGGTAAAAGACCATTTTACAAGAATAGTAAATAGCTACACATTTTCCTTGATATTAGCAGTTTAATTCCTCATGGTATATTGAGTTCAGGAGACTATTGCAACACTTATCGTACGATCGCAAATGCAATTTTAGCCCCATAGTCGACTTTCTTTGACCTTGTCTATAAAGTCATGCCAATTAACCAAACTAAATGACCTATGTGGTGTTAAAATTTGAGTATTCACACCACGTTCCATTTGTAGCAATTTCAACCCAAATATGTGGGAAACACTGAATATGATTTAAGGTTCGGTAGTCGTGTTAGATCTCACTATGTCAAAAGGTGTGTTCACCTTTATCGTGGAGGAGTAGTGTGAAAGAAAATACCCCCCTCTAACTAAGTTCAGTACACTCGACAAACCAATTGGAAGGTAGGGGACAGAAGCAGTATGCAATAAACTCAGCGAAATATGAATTAAGTTGGAAGAAAAATTGCATTACTTCATTCGCATCGAACAATTCTCCACTCATTCTGGTGAAGTTATTGGTTGGCTTCCAGTTGCGAAGCAACATGAAATTGGAAAAATGTCTGAACTAGTTCGTTGAGTTGCCTGAGTTCATCTAGTGTCCTTTTGTATCCCTCTACCAGTATGTGACTGACTTCTTTTTGGACATATTATACTCTGAATTAGTCATATCAGCTAACCAACTCTAAACAAGTTACTGTAAGAAAACAGAAGCAACATAGTGTTCATTCTCAATACAATATCAATTAAAAACAAAAGCATATTTTAAAATCAGAAAAAAGACCATCAAAGGTGAATTCACAAAAGTAAGTGGAATGGATGTTAAATATTCTAAACGAAGGATTCCATGAGGAGAAATATTATTCAAACTCGTGTTTTCTTTTTAGCAGAGCAATCTGTCTTACTAGTTTAATTAGATATGCCACTATTGACGCATGCACAACCATTTCAGAGGCAGCTAAAACGATGACAGCTGCAATGCCACCTGTTGACTTGAAGAAGCCAGCAACTTGGAGGATGAAATTGATGAAAGCTGCAACAAGGGCCATATCTGCCACCTATTTTGAAGGAAAGTAAACATATATCTGGGTTGATTTGGCTTACAGCGTGTAGACAGATTTTATTTCTTCTCCATAATCCAATAAATAAGGGCAAAATCATGATACAATGAAGTATCCCGTACACAATCATCCATATTTGCGAATTGAAGAAGTCCCCGTTCACCTTACCCATACCGCCTCGGATAACCAAATACAGGCCACATGCCTAAATGGACAAGTTCAATGTTAGCAGCAGGAAAATGTGCACTCACAAATAGTAGAACTCCGAAGAAGATTGAACTACATTTTGCAGATACTGCTATCTTATTCATGGTTCTACCTGCACACCGTCTTATCTACTATTTATGCTAAAGTATTAGGAGGGTGGTGATGACCTGAAAGACATTTTCAACATGTTTTAGTGGTGCCATATTGTGGAAAGTATGATGAATAGAGGTGAACCATAATTGGCGTGAAGAGTGTCATGATATTTTAGACACATTGTGTTGCATCATAGTTATAACACCGATCAGATGGACCAAGGATCATATAGGTTAGCAGAACACTTTTAAATTTCTTGCTGTGGTAGGTAGAAATTCAAAAAAGAGGAGAAGTAAATACAATTGGCAAGCCTAATAAGTCATAGTAAGAAATCTCTCACATACTCAGAATGAACTCTGACAACTTTACGAAGGTGTTCAGATATTTTCAATTTGATGCCACCTTGATTGTGGAAACGAAAAAATAATTTCACCAGAATGAGTGGTCAAGAGTCAGATGCAAATGAGGTGAGGCACATCATGTCACAGTGTGTGCGGTATTTACTTCTGTCGCCTGCCTTCCGATTGGTTTGTCGAGTGAACAGAAACTGATAATGGAAGATTCTTCCTCTTAAAGGTGGATACAACTTTTGTCACAGTGAAATCTAACATGAC